AAGTATTTTTGAATTGAATTTAACTGAATTAAATATTGTGTTTATATAGAAGCTAATATTCTAAAGTACTGTAAAAGTAAACTGTAAATAAACTTTGGACCATTTGTACTAAAATCATATGTATAAATAATTCTGTTGTATTTTTAGATGGGAGTTTTGCTTCCAATTCAATACAATTTTACCTCAATCTTGTGTTATTTCAACATATTTCCATTTTCTGCTGCAGCCCCAATACTACAAGGGATTTCAAAGCAAACAGGCATATTTTTATCATTTATTTATTTCAGTTGCAGAAAAAACCAATTCTCTTTTTTGTTTTCTCTGTTGAAAAATACATCTTAAAATCATTTTTCTGCCACACTGTTGGATTTTTATTGTATTTTTTTGTGTGTAGATTGAAGGTGAAGTTTGTGATGAGGGGTCAAAATTAAAGTTAGGTATTTGATGATGAAGAGATTTCTTTCCCACATTTTCTGGACAAAACATTTTTCTTGATATCCTGGACTTTATATCTGAAGACAGATAATTGCCGGTAAGAAAAAAACAAGAAAATGATGCTATGTATGAAATGTGCATCTGAGGTGGGAAGAAAAGAAACTTTAGGTTACTGTCATAACCGCGGTTCTCTGAGTAACATGAGTGAGATGTCTCACTATGGGATACGCCCCTCCGCGGATTCCTCAGAAGCACTTATCTCAATACCCCCATCCTGATTGGCCAGTGACCGTGACGTACGCGTCCCCCTGCTACTATAAGTAGCAAGCGTCCCCACGCACGCACCATTCAAGATAAACACCTCTTCTCGCTTCGCCCAGCAAGAAGGGTTGTCTGGTGAGACATCTCACTCATGTTACTCAGAGAACCGGGGTTACGACAGTAACCTAAAGTTCTCTTTCTTAACATTTGTTTCAATGTTTCACTATGGGATATGGAGACTCCCGTATTGCCAGACAGCTTATCCAGCGATCACCAACCTACAGGGGTACGTCTTGGCCCGCTGAGGACCCCACACCCAGAATCGTGTGGGTCATTGCAGGGACCAAATCGTCACGCTTATAGAAGCATGCAAATGCAAGTGGAGACGCCCAACTTGCTGCAGCACAAATCTCCAGGACGGACAGCCCCCGAAAAAGGGCCCAAAAAGCAGACAGGCCCCTAGTAGAATGGGCCCTGAGCCCTACAGGTGCCTGAATGCCCTGACAGGAGTAAGCCAGAGAAATAGCCTCCACAATCTAGTGGGAAAGCCACTGCTTGGTGATGGGTTTCCCCTTACAAGGCCCACCCCATGACACAAAAGGCTGGTCCCCCCTGCGAATGTTCCCTGTCCGATTAACATACTCCTTGAGCGCGCGAATCGGATACAGCTTGTGCAACCGCTCCTCCTCAGGAGAGGAGAAGGGCGGTGGGTAGAAAGCTGTGAGGAGCATAAGAGAAAAGGAGCCCACTACCTTTGGCACAAAGGCAGGGTTGGGCTTCAGGGACACCTTCATGTCACCTGGTGCGAACCGGGTGCAGGATGGGTGCAGAGAGAGCCTAAAAGTCACTAACTTGCTTTGCAGATACCAAAGCCAGGAGTAGCACCACCTTAAGAGACAGGATCTTAAGGTCCGGGCCGTCCATAGGCTCAAATTGAGGCCCGGAGAGGGACAACAGCACCAAGAACAGATCCCATGAGGTCACCAGGGGTCGAGACACAGGGAGAAACCTGCACGCACCCCTCATGAAGCTACACACCAGGGGGTGTTGACCTGTCAATTTCTTCCCAAAACCCAAGTGTCGGGCGGAAATGGCTGCTAGATACACTTTAATGGTGGAGAAAGCCTTCTTTCCATCCAGCAAGTCTTGCAGGAAAGACAGAATGACATTCACAGGACACTGGGAGGGTGAGACATCCCTGCCCTGACACCAGGTTTCAAACACCCTCCATGTACAGTCATATAGGGACCTAGTGGAGGGGGCCCTGGCATTCTGAATGGTTCGAATGACTGCCTGGGGCAGCTCTGCTGACCCTAACCCGCACCCCTGAGGCACAACACAAACCGCACTGAACTGTGTAGGCGGAAGCACACCAGGCAGAACGAGAGCGCGTTCACGTTAGGAATCCGCGGAGGGGCGTATCCCATAGTGAGACATCGAAACGAATGTTAAGAAAGAGAACATTCTTTGAAAACAGTCTAAATTGGTTTATTAAAATGTGGATGCTACATTCATTTGTTCAACATTTACAGTTAGTCGCAGACACAAACAGCATGACAAAAGTCCTATCTATGATAATAAAATGAGTCCTCTCCACTTTAAACATCCATTGTTCTCATGCGGCCCTGGTCTTACACCATTAGAACATGACTCTGGGTTTATTCCTTATGAATGTGTAGTTGCCACTTCGAGGAGATTCACAGTTTCGATTTTTGGAATAAAACTTGATATAAAGATCTTGCAATTGTTTAAAAACATTTGCTACCCTTTAATACACCTCCTCAGGGGCCTAGTGGTAGAGTGTCCGCCCTGGGACTGGGAAATCGGTGTCTCCCAGTGCCTCCCTGCTTGACACTCAGCTTTAAGGGGTTTAATTTGGGGCTTAAACCACCAAATAGTTCCCAAGCGCAACCACATCTGCAGCTCACCGTTCACCACGGGGATGGGTCAAATGCAGAGATGTATGTTCACCAGTGTGATGATGACTAATTGGACTTTATAACAGCACAGTTGTCAACTAATGTCACACAGAGCTGGAATCAATAAATAAACCATTTTTTTCTGACTTTGCAAGAAGAAAAATCAAATAAACACCATCACAAGAAAAATAAATTGGTTATTTCTACTTGTGGAAACAAATTACCTTGAAAAACACTTTCAAGCTCTTAAAACAACTTTATCAACATTTATCTCTGGTGTCTGACAAATGGAATCATAGTTAACCCTAAAAGGGCACTTCGTAAAATGAAATGAAATGTAAAATGTATCAAAATGTTTTGGAGGGTTATTAGAGGACCTTTTTATTTAACAAATTATCAAAGGATTTTTTTTAATGCTGTTTACCTTGTTTTACCTTAATAACCTTTCATTTTTTAAATAGATTTTTAAGTCATTCACTGCAGCTGTTTTCTGATCAGAAAATCCGTGGCCAACGTTTTTGACCATTTTTACTGTTTTTTGAAGCTTTTACGGTTAGCACCTCGCTTTAGGCATAGTGGCGTCCCAAAATGATGTTAACTCATGATCATGTGATGTGTGACTCACATGGGTGGAGATCAGCTTTAGAGTCATGATGCTTACTGTCGAGGTACGCAAGCTCGTTCCCATGCCCGCCCCGATAAAATAAACACACAATAGTCGTCAATGGCAGTGAGTGGTTGGATTCCAAATGACGACTCACCTTAGGTTTTATGGGATTCCTAGATATCTCAAACCTAATTCCTACTAGTGCAGTTGTTATTAAGGAAATCCCTAATTATAATTTCTACTAGTAACAACATAGCTGTTGATGTCTTCATTTGCAATTTTGACTAATAAGAATACAAGTCATACGAGGATAAATGAAATTATTGCTATATGAAAAAGGAATTACTGAGAGGTCTGCCCACCAACATTTACAGATCCCATCATGTTAATGTAATAATTGTCTCAGGCATTTTGCGCACGCAACCAAATCCCTGATTTCATAGCGATTGAAGGTACGTGTGACCGGTGTGGCGCAGCGCTACACATACATACCTCTGATCTGCAAACACCCTGATGTGTTTGGCACTGTGTTCGTTTTTACCATTTGAAACATCGGCCCAGGCGTAGGATGGGTGATTTACGGCTTTGATTGGCTCTAAGAGCCGTTTTGTGTGTGACAGACACATCACTGGTGTAACTGTCATACTACATTGTAGTAATGTACCACTTTACATGCCCAGTAGCAGTAATGCCGTTATAATGATGGGAAAAGTTATTAATTAAATTACTCTGTTACCTAAACAAAATAACACCATTGGTAATGCCTTTATGCTTAAACTATACTTATACTTCCAACACTGCAAATCAATAATACAATCATGTATAATCAATTGGAAATGGTCCTTTCTATTATAAAGGGTTATAGGGTCTGATTATATTCACTGGAATTGAAACTTAGATTTGCTTTTGTTTCAGATAAAAAATTTAAGATAAGTGTGAGAAACTCATTGTTTTGCCTAAAGCACAAAGGTTAAAGGGTCATGCTGCGGTAGCATGGATTGACATTTAATGCCAGATCTTTTATCTTTGGGGGCAAAAAGCCTTGGGATAAAAGTTATTTAAAATTTAAATGAATTTGGTTTCATCTTCTGTTGCAAACAGAAGGGATTCCTAAAAATGTCTCACGGTTGAAATAGGTCAGTATATTTTACCATGGCTGGCTGGATCTGTGAACGGCTGATCTGAAACTCTAAAATCTGACTGTCCTTCGTTTTTGTTGTTGTATTTTTCACGTTTGGCTTGTATGCCAAGTAGATGTAACAAATGGATATTTTTCTCTGTTCACAAACTTCATATCTAAGTACTAATTCCTGCTGCTATATTTGGAATAATCCAAAATTTGGATTAGCGGGTTCAGAGCTATATGAGAATTGGAAATTGGTGTTGACTATCATACTTTTGGTGCAACAATAATTGCCAACTATTGTTGCAAATTCACATCAAACCACTCCTGGTCTTCATCTAAATGGAGTATTATGATTAGTACCTTCATCCCAAACCTGCCATAACCAGTCCTGTACATGTCTACTGCCCTCTGGTGGAGGATCTAAATGTGCAAAGGTCCACTTTTCTTCCTTCGTGGCTGTTATATTTCTATATGATTAAAATAAAACTAAGTATTTTGTGATTGCTGTATTAACAACAGCTGATAAAAATAAATGGATTTCCAACTGTCAAATCTCTGAGTTTCATCTTTTGGGAACCGTGAACACAAGCAGATGTTTGGAATACCAGAGTCCCTGAAACAAATAAAACAAACTCTACTGTTTCTCTACCAGGACTGGCTGAGCAAGTTTGGCTACCTCCCTCCTCCCGACCCAGTGAGCGGCCAGCTGCAGACCAAGGAGGCCCTGACCAAGGCCATCAAAGTCATGCAGAAGTTTGGAGGGCTGAAGGAGACCGGAGTGTTGGGTATGTGCTGCAGACAGATGCTGTACTGTGACTGTAGAGTATATAGTGGAGTGTATAAGTCTAAGTAACTGGTGGAGAAAAATACCATACACTTCAAAACAACTGATGCAATCCTCCCAACAAAAACACAGACTGGTATTAGAAAGAGCTGAATCAATATCACAGAGACAAAACACTGAGAGGTAATATTTATTTGGGTTTTATTTATTTATTGGGTAGTATTACACCACACAGCTGTCTACCCACCACAAGACTCTTGTAAACATAAATCACACTTGCTGTCACACAGAGCACAGAATGACAATACCTCTCTGTGCCTTCTGTATGTGATTGATGATGCTTGTGTGTGTGAACCAGGACAGTATATTGATTAGCCTGCGTTCTGCCACTCTCCCCCATGCATTACATTCGTAATTTCCTGCAGTTCATGCTGGCAGTCTCTCTCGCTCACACGCGCCACAATCCTCCTCTGCAAACAGCCTTGTTATTTATCTCACACATATGCTATACTAGAAAGTATGTGAGGAATTTTAACAGAGTTGCATGTTAGTGATGTACTTGATGGCCCAAACAGCTGTAAATGAGAGTATCATTGCACTAGTAAGAGGGAATCTTACAAAGCATGTATATTTTATGACCTAAATAGCTTCCTAAAGCCTCCCTGTTCATGCAAATATATGTGTGCACATGATGATGTAAGTTACGCCTACTGAAGCAGAATTATGGTTGTTCTCTTAAAACATGTATTCATGTAAGGGATTATAGTGTTTTTGTTAATGGTTTTCACTTTATTACCCAGCATGATTATGATCTCTTCCCACCTTTTCAGACCAAGCTACTCTCGGTCTAATGAAAACACCCAGATGCTCACTGCCAGATGTCTCTGACGCCGACGTGACGACGGGGCGGAGGAAACGAAGCTTGAACCTGCAAAACAAATGGAATAAAAGGCATCTGTCTTGGAGGTAGGAAAATTAAGACTCACAATACAAAACACTTAAAGATGGAGTTATACGAACATACACAGTGAAAGTATGAACAGCATGAACTAACCCTTTTGCTAGCTAGCCCATCTCACAGCTCTTGTCATATTTTTATCATCAGTTGATTGCGTATCTTAAGCTGTTTAATGCTCCACTAATTTTGTTTTGCAATACCTGAAAATAATAATTCCCATTGAAAGGCCACCCCTCCCAGTATACGGTGTCCTTAGTATTGCTGCCTCCCTGTCGCATGCACTGTCTGGTACTCTATACAGAGATTTTTATAAAAATCCAAATGTGTTATTACTGAATTTGACCAAAAAACTGTTTCTTTCCAAAAAGAGGTAAATGATTGTCTCAGTCTATCACTATGGTAACAGATTGAACCAAAAAGGGGCGGCAGTAGCTCAGGTGATAGAGCGGGTTGCCTTGTGATCGGAGGGTCATGGGTTTGATTCCACCTCCCACCAGGGGTATTCTGCTGTTGTGTCCTTGGGCAAGACACTTCACCCAACTTGCCTGTGTTGGTGGTGGTCAGAAGGGCTGACGGAACCAAATGGCAGCCTCGCCTCTTTCAGACCGCCCCAGGGCAGCTGTGGCTACAAAGTAGCTTACCATCACTAGCAGTGTGTGAATGTGAGAGTCCATGAAGCGTCTTTGATTGTCCTAAAAAGTGCTATGTAAGTTTGATGATTATTATTGTAGCGTCATGAATGGCCTCTAATTTGTGACAAAGGTCACATTTTCTCAGCTGGGTCAAGCTGGGTCGAACTGTAACTTTGCCCCACAGATTAACCCGCCAGGAGCCGTGATGTCTGCTGAAACACCATCTTTATCTGCTGCTGTTCCGTCCCAAGATGGACACTTCAAGAGTTTACAATAATAATTTTAGATAATAATTTTAATAAACTCTTGACTTTATTACCGTTAATACAACCATCATAAATAATCTCTTGGTTCAGTATAAATGTATTTTAATTACTGAAATGACTTATTATGCTTTGGGTAATAATATAATTATTTATGATAATCCGTAATGTGTGTTCAGTAAACCAGAAGGTCATCTTGCACGTTTAACCACCTCACGGAGAGGGAATCCAGGGTAAAGGGTAAAACACCTCACATGTCTTTACTTCATGACCAAGCTTTCTGACGCTGAGAGGGCGTGTTCTGAGGGTTTTGTTAAAACCAAATCCCGCAGCTGTAAGTTCAGTTCTTGAACCATACCAGGAGACGAGGGACGGCCGCCCAAGTCTCTACTACGCATTCTGTCACGCCGATAGTCTTGCTTCGAATAAATGCAACTGTAACCAGCTGATGCAAAACTCCTTCAGAGTTAAGCCAGATGCTCGTCACCGTGTACCCTGCGACATCTCTGGACCAGAGGATCGGTTCTACTCGGGTCTTCTCTACCGGACCGAGTACCCCTGAGGCTGACAACATCCTCCTTGACCTCCGGATCCACATAGAGGGTCGTCTTGCTGAGTGAGGTAGCACACAGATGGTGTCTGATGCTGTTCTTTCTAAGAAATGACTCAGTTAGCCACAAAACAACTTTCCACCCTGAAAACTTCTCTCGCTGAAAGAAACCTTCTGATATTCATTCACGCATCCAAAAACTCGCATTTCATTTTAGTTTCCATTCAGTCACAGGTTTGCTTTTAAAAACAAGTTTTAATATCAAATTGTCTGTTAAAAATTTTCATTTCTAAATTGTCCTTTTTAAAAGTGTTAGTAATAAATTCTTAACTTTTTAAAAAACTCTGACTCTTCTTTGAAATGAAACACAGAATGGTGTATATTTTTGGTTATTGAAAAGCAAAGATTCCTTTAAACTTCTGATTAAATAAATAAACTTTTGCTAGTAAATTTAATTATCTTAAAATTAAAAATTAATCTTTGGATTAAAAATAGACCAAGCTCGTTGGCATATGAACTTCAATCGAATATATATTATCCTAGATATTTATATGTGATAGAAACTTCATTTGTTAACTTGTTTGGATCTGTTCTCAGGATCTAACCAAACTGATAGCAAACAGTGTTAAATCCTAGTATGTAGTTAACCACGCTACATAATTATTATTAAAAGCTGCTTAGTCTTTGAAGCCGAATGTAGACTGCGTGATTTTTGCATCATTTTTAAGCGATTTTCCTCTCTGAAACAGTCTGGGCGAGTTTTGCGTTGTGTAGCATACAGGTAGTAATGATAAGTGATTAATAACACCAGCTCCTGAAAAAAATCTCAAACATCAAACATGAGGGTATTGGACTGTTGAAGCAGCGCCATGATCCAAATGTACCAGAACCGCTCACACAGCACATGCACCAACATGTCTGCCCAGCCATTTAGCGCGTCTATTCAAATCATGTCTTTTTCTTTTTGCACTTTTCTCCACGCAGAAAGGAAAGGGTGGTCAAGGAAGCGCGTTTGTTTTTGTAGAAAAATCTCTTATTCTCAGGCGAGTGTCTCTGTAACGTTTTCTGTGTTCATATCAAATAAAGATGAATCCCCAAACTTCTTTATAAACCTCAATTTACCTCCTACATGCCATTCCTTCTTCTACCTCCCACACCTAAAACTCTGCATGTCTTCCTTTAACTACGGCAGGCCTCAAGGACAAAAAGACACCAATAACAGTCTCCTCTCTTCCAAGTTTTTCCTCTTTTTATTCTTTGTAGTTTCCATGTAGAGGGTCTGATGTATTGCTACCACATGTACAGTGTGAGCAGTTAAATCTCATCCGAGTATTGGGCTGTACCATGTGAGAACATGACTCATCACCTGCATCCTACAAAGGAGTCGTACGGTTTCAGATGGAGGTGAACACAGCGTCTGAAAAGTTGCGCAGTGTACGCCCTGCTTTACGAACCCTGAGTTTGTTTTGGTTCCCTCCAACATGTTTGATCATTTTAAACAAGGTTGAAGAAAAATTACTTTAATTAATTTTTCCTAAATAAAAAACTGCTTTGTTCCATTTACCAAAACAAAAAGATGAAGTCTGGCATTCGAATGTAAGCCTGCTGCTGTTGCATGTTTATTATTATTTATTGGGCCAGAATATACTTGCTGTTTGTCGATTTGTATGCATGTTTAAAATGGCTGCCTCGTGTAACTTGTGTTGATTTGAAGTGTCGTTTGTGCGCGTCCCCCGAATTCAATGTGAGACATTCAAAAGCTGCAACATACGAGTAAACCGTAGGTGGAGTTGACAAAACTAGTAAGACAGACTCACCATGGCAGCTCCGTCTCTGGTTTAGTTTTTTTTTTTTTTTTTTTACCGTCTATGTTACTGCTGCTGTCTTTTATTCTGTTGTGATCTCAGGATTAACCATTTACTGATCTCTTCTATTGACGCTATGTTTGTTTTAGTTGTACCCCACAAACCTGGGACTCTATCCGGTTTTCTACTGAGCCCCCTATCAGAATCCTCCACTACTACATGCAGCACTGTGCAGCAGCATGTGAAAGCAGACGCAGCCTGCACCAGCGCGAGGTTACAAAGCAAGTATAATCCAGGCCATAAACTGCAAGGAGGACTTCCTGCTCCATGTGAAACATTTTTTTTTTATTGTGGTTGCATGGTAAATCATTATAATAAAAATACATTGTTGCTAGCAAAGCACATGCCTGGTTTGAATCGTACCTCACAGGACGATCATTCAGTGTATCTTGGCTTGGACAATCCTCTACCGTGCACCATCTTGCCACAGGAGTCCCCCAGGGCTCTGTACTAGGATTTCTTCTCTTTGCCATATACACCTCACTGGGTGATATCATTCGATCACATGGCTTCTCCTACCACTGCTACGCAGACGACACCCAGCTCTATCTGTCATTTCCACAATCTATATCAATATCTCAATCCAAAATGACTTCCTATCTCAGGCTCCTTCAAAGGCAGTTCGAAATCTGGGTGTTGTGATTGATGAACACCTGACCTTTAAAGATCATGTTACCTCTGTTGCTCGTTCATGCCGCTTTGCGCTGTATAACATACGAAAGATCAGACCATACCTAACACAACATGCCACCCAGCTCCTGGTACAATCTACTGTCATCTCCTGCCTCGATTACTGCAATGCCCTTCTAACTGGTCTTCCAGGCTGTACTGTGAGACCTCTTCAAATGGTCCAGAACGCAGCAGCGCGCCTGGTCTTCAATCAGCCAAAAAGAGCACACGTCACCCCTCTGTTCATTGAGCTCCATTGGCTACCACTAGCAGCACGCATCAAATTCACATTGCTAACACTAACATACAAAGTCCGAGATGGCACGGCTCCCATCTACCTGAATCCTCTTGCAAAGGCTTACATCTCGGCCTGGCAGTTCCGGTCATCACAGGATCGTCGGCTAGCGGTGCCTACACCACGCTCAGGACAATCCAGACTCTTCTCATGCATTGTTCCACAAATGTGGAATGACCTACCAAGCACTACCAGAACTGCAACTTCCTTTTCAATTTTCAAGAAACTCCTGACGACCCTGCTCTTCAGAGAGCATCTTCTTAACTAGCACCTTGCCTGCACCCGTCCCCCTCTCTACTGTCCACTCCTTGTTCCCTCCTCTCCATGATTGATGTCAATGTTGTTGTTGTCATTGTTGTTGTTAGCCTCAAGGGCAATATGCCGATTATCACTTGTAAGTCGCTTTGGACAAAAGCGTCTGCTAAATACATAAACATAGATTTTTCTTCATTGGTTGTTAATTCTCAATTTGTGTGAACATTATGCAGCTTTAAACATAAATAACAGTCTTCCAGAATATACGTCATACATTTTTGTACACAGAAAGTACAAATTCTGTGCAAAATTGTTGAAAAGCATGTCTGCAGGAGACAGATAAAAATTTTTACTTTCCCTATTGCTTAAATACTTTAGGTTCATTTCACAAGGCTGCAGAATCCAAACAAAAAGGACTGTAGATATTGACTTTGACTTTTTAGAGGAATTCAATTGAAAAAAAGAAGCAAAGAAAAGTC